ACTTGAATGGGGAAACTGAGACATACATAAGCTCTAATACCAGGTAGATCTGGGTGAATCAGAAAGCACTGTGAAGATTTAGAAAAGGGAGAGATTGCTTCTGGGGGTTGGATGAGAAAAGGCTGGAAAGACTGCTAGTGGCATCCGAGGCAGGCCTTCAAGGCCAGTAGGCAGAGAGGGCCAGTAGGAGGGAGGGGCAGTGATACAGAAGAGGCACAGTCCTGCATTAGAGCCAGAGAGAGTGCCGACGGGGGCTGGGGCGACACTCAAGGCGGTAGGTTCAAGGGTCTGGGAAGAATTATTATGGGATGAACTGGATGAATGGAAAAGAGGGCTAGATCCAGGAGCTGTGGGGGCATGACTCACCAGGCAGAGAGATCAAGAGCGAAGGCGTGCTAAGCTGTGAGCCCTAAGAGCAAGGACAACCCAGGACACTGATGGCAGGCAGTTAGGTTGAACTGTTGTAGACGACCCTAGACGTTAAAGCCATAGTGGAAGCACAGGGGTGCCCATAGCAAAAACGGTACAGAAGGTGCCTTGGGAAGGATGAACAAGGGTTCCTTTCAGACCCCTTGAATTTGAGGGGCACTTGGGATGGTGGCTGGAGATGTGGGAAAAAAGCTTGAGACTGACTAGTGGGGGACAGAGTATAGACCTGGGAATTGTCCAGAAAGCAGAAATATTGGCCATGATTACACACACACACACACACACAGAATGCAGAGAGAGGGAGGAGTGAGGACAGACCCTCTGACCAAAGCATTCATTCTCCTTCTCAGAGAACACTTTAGGATAGGTAAAGGAAGACTAGAGCAGTCTGGGGTGAAGCCACTCCCCTGAGGGAACCATGGAGCTTGTGAGGAGGAGGGACAAAGCGAGGACACTTCCGTAGGTGAAGGCTCTGTGGCTGGCACCCCTGGCTTTCTCACAACCTCACTTTCCCAAGTTTTGAAGGCGGAGTTGGAGTTTGCCTTCGGTAGTTTTCCACTTCTTTAACAAACCTTTGTTAATATCTGTTTTTTGTTCCATCCTGGGTCAAATGGTGTTCCTGGTCCCTAGGCGAAGTAAGGCTACCTCTCCTAGTCCTTCTATACCCAGTTCCCTGAGCAGATATGCTAGTGACAGGAGGGATTAGGGGGAGGGCGGTAGGTTAAAAGAGAGGAGCTGGGTGTCTAACTTTCTCACACTCTACACTTTGGCAAAACACGTTTTTAATTCACTCTACGTGGAAAAGTGTGCATATAATTTTGCTTATTTATTACAGTTAGAAATGTTAATAAGGGAGATTTGAGTAGAAAGCCACTCCTCAGATTCAAATCAAATAATGAATTAGCAAAGAATTGCTTACAGCTTACTACCGAACTTGACTAACATTCGCATGAATGCTAAAGGTGAGGAAACACCATCTAGCCAGTGTTAGAGGGACGGGTCCTGCATATATACCATTGGCAGTGCTCTAGGGTACAGAGACTCACTCTAAATGACACAAGTTGGTAGATCTGGAATGTGGGTAGACCCTGTAATGGATTACTCAGTCCTGAATTGGCCTGGGCTTAGTTCAAAGTTGGGGATCAGCAAATGTTTTTAGAACAAATAATGGCTTCTCAGCATCCATGCATTTTTCTCAAAGGAAAACCAACACAGGAAATAGAAACAGAAAATTTAAGATGTAACTAATTACAAAATTCTTCCTTTGGTTAAATAATTCACTGTAGTTTTCCTTAAAAGTTGGCTGCTAATGCTTATATAAAAAGTCAACTCACGTGAGGAAAGAGGGCTCCGTGAACATGTCTGCACTGCAACCATGACAATACTGGTGGCCATATGCAATCCTGTGCCCACCTACCTTTCTACTTGCTGTTTCTCTGCCTTTGTCCCCCCTCCTACCAGTCCCATAAAGGCTCTGTGCATGCCATTTTAGTGGATTCAATATTTCCTAACTAGATCATATACTTTTATGCAAGGAGTCTAGTCATCCGTTTTATTAGGACAGGATACTAATTTGTTCACTAACAACCAAGAGCTATAAAATCTGCACATCACAGCAGGGATCTGACCTCCTCAGCCCCAGTACAACAGGCTCCAAACTGCAATGATTGCAGAACCCATGAGATAAACAGGGCGACGGTGGGGAAGTTCTTACTCAGGTCTAAATACAGCCGCTGCTTGCTGGTCCAGGCTGAGATCACTCAGGTAGATTGTGCCGAAACATTTCTCTGATGTTGTTTCTAAAAAAAAAAAAACCCAAAAAAACCCAAAACAGGTCCCAGCTCGCTCCTGCAGGAGTCAGCCAGCAGGTGAGGGAGGAGAGGCAGAGATACTCACTGGGGTATAAAACCAGTGCTCATTTTGGTTTTGTCTTTCTGAAGTATCAGTATTTTCTCCAAATTAGAAGAAATTCTTTTTTTCCATAGACTGGCAAACAGGTTTTAAGAAGTTGAGTTACTTACCCAATTTCCCACCAACCTCTTGACCAAGTTGGAAAGGAAAACCCATTGAGAATTTCAAATGTGCAGGCTATCTGGAAGTACTTCCCACAGCTCATGTAAGTAATACTAACTCCAGTTCATTGTAAAACTCTACTGTTTGCCAGATGCTTCCACTAGTTCTCCAGGAACAGCAGAAATCTAATTATAAAAACTGAAAGAGGCCATTTTATAAAAACAGCATTTATCTGTAAAAGGGGATGATTAACAATAATGCCTTCTTACTGGGTTGAGGACTACATGAGCTGATTTATTTAAAGTGCTTGGAATAGGGCCAGGCACATAGGACCTCATGCAGTAATAATTATTATCTATTAAAATTAACAGCGGGGAAAGAAGGTGCTGTAACACTTAAGAACCTCTTCATTGGATAAATCTTTTCCTGGGTGCCTACTTTCCCTATTAAAACTGAAGGATGCCAAGGAAAGCATTGAGAAAGACAAATACATTTTACCAAGTGAAATAATTAAAGGCAAAAATAGAGTTCATATGTTAACAATTTAAGAAATATCATGTCTATGAAATGCAACTCTCAAGAGCATATATTTCATTGTTCTAACTTCCACTTAGATCCAGAAAACTAAGTGGCCTGAAAAAGAGACAGTTGGGGAAAATGAATACTGCAGATTTCTAGTGAAAATTAAGCTTCCGTGTCCTTCAAAGCAAAGGGCCACACTGTCTGCTCTTTGCTGAGCATGTACTTTTGTCTCAGGCTAACTTGAAATTCCTAAAACCATCCAGGAATTCTTTCTGTAGCCCATTTAAATAATAAAAAATCACAGCCTACAGGTTCTATTTAGTTGTAACTAAACAATCTTGCAGTGTTTTACTCTTGCCTTGGAATTCCCAACTCCAAGAACTTCCCTTTAGCACCCCCCTACTCTGGTCTTCCGAGGTGGCCCCTTCACCCCACCTGACCCACGCATCTCACCTGCTTCCTAAATACCCATTTGGTTCCTCCTCCTGCACATGATTCAATACATTCGCCTGGCTCTTATTTTCATTGGTAAAATTAAAGAGTGTTACCTTTAGGTCTCATACATTCCCACTCCCTTCTGGGACTGATTTCATTTACAAGATAGGACAAGCAGAGATAACTTGGGCAAGTTCCCTCTGTGAAGAAAAGTGATGTTAAAAATCTTTGGTGCTTTATCAGCCTGGACCATAGCCTGGGATTCTAAATTCTGGGGGGCTATAATAAGATTCAGAAACTAGACCTCAGGCTCTGAATTCGTAAGAATTTTCTCTGTGGGTTGTATGTGTGATTTTTTAAACAATTCACACCGTTTAGAATTCTTAAGAGAACAAAACCAAACATTCTTAATGTATTTTCTCAATTTGAAGACTCTCGGGCCATGCGTCATATCTAGTGTATGACCCCCCCCCTCCACCCAGTTAAAATCAGGGCAAAAGGTCACCAGCCTGTGTGTGTTATCCAGCAGCAATCTATCAATCAAGTGGAAAAGAGCACTGAGCCTGCACCGCCCTGCCACACCCCTGCAGCTCCTCTGACAGGTCTGTCAGAAGCAGGCCAGCCATCAAGACTGCAAGAGCAGGACAGGGAACAGGCAACTAGAAAGGGGTTAGAAGAAACTGGAATGGAAAATAAGGGGGGGAGCAAGGATGAGGGGATAAAGGAATAAAAGGATGGAGAAGAAAAGAAGGAAGCGATAAAGAGAACAAAGAAGGGAAGACAGGAGAAACAGGCAGAGAAAACAATAGAGCTGGGCCTCTAAGTGTAAGCACGACTTTTCTTTTTCATTCAGTGTCCCAAAGAGTGTGTGAAGTTATCTGGGTAAACACACACAGGGAGACGCCAGGGTGTGGCAGAAGGCAGTGTAAACACAACGAGGTGACACCATGGGGGTTGAGCAGGACTGAACTGAGAAGTATCTTTTACATTCATGTACTATTAATACTTTCACAAGGCAGTTCCAATCTAGAGAGTGACTGATTTCCAGATAAAATTGATTTCCTAACCTTAGACTCCCAATTATTTAACCTTCTGAGGAGCATTAGAAACAAGGTAGAGCCCACGATAGGGGATTTGTCCTCCAGCACCAGCAGACTGCCTTCTCTCCCTGGGAGCTGGAAGGTTAGACTGTTCCTAGTCAGCTCGCTTAACCTTCACAGTCTTGGGGAGGAGACCTCAGAACACATGGCTGCTGCTGCTTAGTGGAAGAGAGGGCATTAAAACAGTCCTCCCCCCAAAACCAAGACAGTTTCCCCACCAAAACTACACCAATCCAAAACACTCTCTGATTTGGGAATGTAATCATATAATACCTACTTGGCAAAAATGTATGGTTGGCTATAGAACAAAAAGAACTATCTGAATCTAAACTATTGCCTCTTAATCCTTTCATGAGACTAAGTCCCTCTGAAGGAAGCACAATCCATTGTTACTGAAGGAAATCAGAAGCACATATAGACTGTGGCATACCTACACGCATGTGCGCAAATACATAGCTTGATGCATTCATACACCTGTGGATGAACACTCATGGTGAAGGCTCGGAGGCTACAGAGAAATTTATTTGTTTATGAGAGCCATGATTTGGAACATTAAAAAGTCCTTCTGGGAATATGATGGAGGAAAATGTGGTGAGAGGGCGAGACCCAGCAATCTGCGGGCATGTTTAAAGATGTGAACACACTCTCTTGGGTGAACTCTGCTCTGACTCCACGCCAAGGTGTTTGCCTGGCAGCGCCCTAACTCCTGAGTGGTTGGCAAGCTCTGGCTCGAGAGAATTTATTTGGAATCTTTCTTCTTTTTCTTCTTCTTTTTCTTTGGTGTTTCATCTAGTGTAGCTGCTACCTCATCCACTGCTACCTCAACATGCTTTTGTAGCTTTTTCTTTTCTCTCTTTTTCTTGGGCTTTGGTGGTAAGTCCTGGTCACCAAGTGGCCACACACAGTTCTCTCCATCCTCAGCGGAAGCGTCCACATTCTTGTCCCCATGAAGATCTCTGAGCTGCTGCTCAGCTTGGTCTCTCTTTTTCTTGGTCTCGGGTTGGGTATAATCCCCCATATTTTTATCTTTTGCCTCTCTCTTCCTTTTCTTTCCCCCTTTTCTTTCCATTTGGGTCTCTGGAAGGTCAGGCCCTGCAGCCATGACCTGCGGCTTGTTCCTTAGCTCTAACATCCGTTTGGCAAAGTACTCCTGGATGGTGAAGGCACTGGTTGTCGTAGTGGAGGTTTCATTCCCATCTGGAGTGGTAGAGCCGGAATCACCCTAAGATGTAGGGAAAGAGTTAAACTGGTTAAGAATTGGCTGTTTACTTCTCAGGGCATCCAGGAAGACTCTAGCTGGAACCATCAGTACTCAGCAGTTAGATGCCAGGTTGAGTACCTGGAAACTCAAGTCCCCTCCCAGCCCACCCCAGTAGAGCT